GTTCATCCCACGTGACAGGCCCCTTCGCCCGCAGCGACCTAGACTGTAATAAGTCCATGCGTAATTAATGAACTTGCTCGGAAATTCCTTAGATGCAAATTCTTTTCCACAAAGGTTCCGATGGTTGAGGACAGATTTTCTTAATGCGCTTGTGCCAGCAATCTCGTAAGGAGTTCGAGCTTGAGCGTACGGTTTAAGCGTTTTTGCGTTTTCGCAGTTGTGAGCTTTTGGCGGGCAGTCGCTTAAAACGCTGGCGTACACTCAAAACGCAAGATAGATATTCATACATTCTACTTCGCTGTGGATGAAGGGGCGGGTTTGGCACCGCGCCAGATTTATCCCACATGACACACCCTTTCGTTCGCAGCGAACTTCACTATAATCAGTCTATGGATCAGTGGATGAAGGGGCGTGCCAGGCAGTATGAGTGTGCCGCAGCGCCAAACCCGTTCTCTTTCAGTTGTTGAAGTGGGTACGCGTCAACGACTGGTAGAAAGCAGTGATACGAAGAACATAACACGGCTTTGTCACCTGCTTCAACAACTGGTGGAGAACGGACCCGGCACCGCGCCAAACTCAACTCGCCGGATACGCCCCTTCGTCCGAAGCGAATCACAATATACCTTTCTAGTCGCTCAAAACGCTGACCCAAAGTATGAACGCAGCGCATTAGGGCGCTCAGTTGACGCGGTAGCCGGTGGTATGGGATGTGGTATGGCAACGTCCATTCTTTGCGCATTTGCACAATTCGTAATTTTTCAAGAGGGCACGAATCGAAGGAATTCGCAAATCGGAGGAACGTTAGAAGGCAAAGTGAACCATTCTATTTCGTACCATATTGTAGCTTTACAAGAGCTTACAGGTCATTTTCAATGACCATTGAAAATGACCTGTAGATCGATGTGAACTAACAAAATGTTTTTCCCCTTTTGGGCGATCAGCACCAGGCTTCAATTATATTCGATCCCCTTTAACCACTAACGCAGCAAATCGTACAGTTTCGGCAATATGTTCTTCAGGTGAATTTGACCCCGTTAGGTATGTTATACTCCAAAAAATGAATAATGAATATTTCAGTCCCAGACTCCTATCATTACTTGGAGGACTATACTCTCTCAGCGGATGATTCGAACTTGCCCTCATCAAGTCAGAATGATCACCAGTACGTAAAAGGACAGCCTGTACGTTCAAGTTATAAGTGTACTATTATGATTTGACTATTAAAGTGTCCATTCTGTGACTAAGGCATCATCTTTAGTATCAGGTTTCACATACGATTAGCATATTTCTTTGAGGCTTCCATCACATCGATCAGGAGAGGTGATGCTCAACAACAACAGTCTCCCGTCGGCGCTAGTAGTTTTACTCAGAAGTCCTCAGGAGTTTCATCTGCTGGCGAGTCCTCCGGGTTAGTATTTCGAGACCACTAATTTCTGTGATTTGATCAGAGCTCGAGGGAACATTCCAAAACAGCCTAGGGCTGTCTTATGGTGCTATAGAATAAAAATAAAGGTGCGAAGTGGTTGCTAAGTGTCGGAGAACTCAAAAGAACTCGCTCAAGGGCAGCAAAGTCCTCCTTTGCAATGTAAGCACGCATACTCGGCGGCAAGGTGAAAAATGAGAGCGGAACTGCGCAAATGTGCCTAATAATGCCCTT